CTCGCCCCAAAGTCTATTTTTGGTATTCCTTGGGGACTTCGTTGCTTTGCTTCCCTTGCTGCTCTGTTGCACGCCCTTAGCGTTTTGCCCTGGTGTGATGCAGTCAGATCAGGCACAATTCCCTCACTGTGCCTCCAGTGTTGTCCCTCGTAGGGATATGGGTCAGTGAGGGACATGTTGTCTCTTGGTAGGGCCGGGCCTATGGTCCTCTGTGTACTTTGGCTGTTCTGAGCAGGAATATTGTCCTCAGGGCTTAGAACCTCCAATTATTGAATAGTTGTCAGACACTGAGTTAAGCACTTCACATAAAATGTCTTATTTTATCTTCAATCTTATGAGATCGAGTTAATGCCACCATCCTACTGATGAATGAGGAGAGACAAAATGAGGTTGAGTGCTTACTAAATGGTAAGAGATCGTTCAAACACATTTCACTCTTGTTCAAAACCTATTTTAAATGCTATATTATTGTACATATACCAGAATTTCAACAAATGTTTTACACACAAATGAAGGCATGATCTAATTAACCTGAGTATCATGGATTTGTATTCCCCTGTTACTGCTATGGTGAGCTATAGTTTTGCAAATATCCCCGAAACACCATGTGATGTGAATATCACAGGTTGTTCTAAGCTGATAGTCACAACACATAAGCTCACCTACGCTCACCCAAGCAGCAGCAGGAAAAAAATGTGCATATAAGTGTGCCCCACACAGTTCAAACCCATGTCTTTCAAGAGTCAACTATAAATCTTTCATTGTTTTTTATTGTACAGAAGGTACGTTATGGCTGGAAGGCCAACAGTGTATGTACATAGGGGCTTCCAAACATTCATTGAAAAATTCCATTATCTTTTGATTCCAATTTTCCACAATTTGTTTAAGCTCACACACATACACACACACACACACACACACACATATACATACATACACATAGAAGAGAATACAAAGGTATGTGTATGATCTGAGAGTGATATAAAATTTTTTCAAATTAATCTCTGCTTCCTGGAACTTACACCTATTCAAATAACTTAAGGAAGAGGCCAAATGATTGATGAGACATGAGCAATAGAAATTCAAACCTAGAAAAGATTACTGTTACCATAAAGATTGCAGAAGTTGAGCTTGGTATGAAGAAATGTCTGTTGTTCAATAGAAAATGAGAGTGTACAACCCATCAGGAAGCATCTACTTGAGCAAATGCACCCAGACAGAATTGTGAAGGGTAGTCTGAACCAGCGAGTCGACAATCTAAGAAAACTGAATTCTGGAATGTATTAGGATTTGAGTATGGGAATATGTGATTATGGTCTGCATGTAAGTGGTCTTTGATTGCTTAATAAGGAGTTTCAAATTCCTCCCAAGAAACGACAGAAGTATTGAAAATTTTTCTAAGTAGTAAAGTAACATAATAAGAAAGTCCTTCTAAGAAATATTATATGACAATGTGGGTAGAAATAAAAGGGATACATTTCAGTTAGGGTCTTAATTAGGAAGTAGATCTAATGATCAGGGCTTGAGGTAATAAGAATTAAAGTGACTGTCTAGAAATGGAGTTGCAGGGATATATTTAGTATATATTTCAAAGGAAGTATTCACTTCTAATTAATCATAGGGGTTAATGCTTATATTGTCAAGAATAAATAAGATTTTATTCTTTGTTTTTAGAAATTTGGAGGGTTTTTTTCATTGAATTTTATATTATAGCTAAGCTGCACTATTACCAAGAAATGTGATCATCAATGTTAATGTGATTTAAATGTAAAATCATCTTTGATACACTGTTTAAAGCGAAAACCCAGTAAGCGTCCATGAAATCAACAAGATCCAGCACCGCACACCAGCATGCAGTGCTTGGTCAGTGGTTTGCACTTAAGGCCTGATGTTTGCATAGTTGCTCAATTCAAGCCCCTACTAGCAGGCCTTCCAATGAAAGGTTTACTGTAATGTTCTAGTTTGAAAATATATTTTGTATTACAATACAAAATTTTGAACAACCTACTTTCTTCTGTGGAGGGGAACAAGTTTTATTTTTTAAGTTTAAAACTGCTACCTTATCATAGCATTGTTTCATAAGATTGTCTTCTGCTTTTTGTTGAAAGAATTCACAGAAGCAGATTTTTGAATACTTTTAAGATGTAGACTGCTTTTAATGTTCACAGAAATACTATTATATTTTTGTCACATCTGGATCTTGTGCTCCATATTTTTAGATATTAGATTATTTAATTTAAAATAAGCTGGTGTGAAACCTGGAACTTGACATGCAGCTTTGGTTTCCGGGTCTCGTGTTTTCCACCTTTGATAGAGTGCAGCCTCACCCCTTTTCTACTGATGATTGCAGTGCATATATTCGAGTTTTCCTTCTGTGACAGGTTTCCAATTTATACAGGTTCGTTTTTCACTTGATTTACTGTATAATTTAGGTTGGAATAAAAAATAGGCAATTAAAAATTAAATAATTAAAATTAAATTTTGTTTTACAGTGATCAGCATGTTGGTAAAATTTATTCCAAATCTTCTTCCTTTCTGGATTATGTCAGAAAATTTCTAGCAAAGCTTGGATTAGATGAGCACAAGGTTAGTATGTGATGAGTCATTATTTTCACAAAACACGGTATAACTTCTACAAGTTAATGATGTGATGTAGTACAAATACTTTGCCTTATACTTTTCTCCCATTTCTGAAAAGCATCTAAGATATATGGAAACCAAACCTCCTCGACCTTTATCCTAGTTCTGCTTCCTTTCAATGTGCATAGCATGCTGTTGGAAACAAGTCCAAGGAATTCTTACTTTATGTTTATTTAAGTAAAAATCATGAAAGTTCTCAAATTAAACTTGAGTTATAAAGCCATATAACAGTTGAGAAAACCGCATGGTGAACACATGCACCATCCTCCATTTTCAGTTAGGTGGAGAATCCGTCTCCACACCAGTTTAAGGCCATTGCCCCAAGGCCAGACATGCTTCCATGTTTTTGATCTGTTCCAACTGTCCATCCCTCCTAAGGCACTCTCCATCTTTACTTGGGTTCAATAATCTCTTGCAATAGCTACACAGAACTCACAGGCAGTACTCCGATTATGGAGGGTTATCAGGGATGTTAGTAGCTTACCACATGCCTCATCTTTTGCTCTGGTCCTATGACTCTCAGCCGTAACATTGCTTGGCCTCTCTCGGTCCCTGTGGGCAGTAAACCCACCTGCCACTCTGCCTTACTGCTATGTAGCCTCAGCGAGTCTTCTCAACTCTGTCTCAAGATGACTATTCTGTAGCCTCTGCGGCCTCTGCCATTTCAGACAAGGATCTTACACAAGCTCCACTGGCACGTCTTCCTGTTTCTATGATGAACTCTTATCCAGTGGAATGGCAAAACTGACCAGCAGCACACTTGGAGTCATCTATACCTAATTTGCTTGGGTCCATCTAAACATTTGGTGAAAGTTATAGAGAAATAAATAGAAGAGCCATGAGTAATTAATTTCACTTCACCACATAAATGGGAATTAGAAGTAAAGCAAATGAGAACAATTTTAATTTTGAAATGCATTTTATTTAAAGCATGTGGAATGAATTAAAATATAAAATCTTAAATTCAAAAACCTGAGTGTCAGAGTCCTACGAAGTGGTCACATCACTGGAGGCTAAAGCTAACAATCGAGGAGTCAGGAAGGTAAGTTGGCTGGTACATAGTCATAGCTATTCTAACCTTGGAGAGGGGGAACTAGAATGATTCAAATGAATCAATGACTGAATCGCTCTAGTACTCTAGATTGATAATAAGTTTAAATAAAGATTAAAGTAGATGATTAAATAAGCAAAACATTTCTTGAGAGAAAAATTATACATATATGATTAAGTATAGCAAACCTAGAGTGTTATTGTTTATTATACCTGTGATCAATTTACTGTGCAGTCAACTTATTGTTTTCCTACTTTTGCTAATCAATTTCCTCCTCTGTAAAAGGACCATAAAAAAAGTATTCCCAAGTGCTTAACATAATGTTTGTACTTAGTAAATGCTAACTAGATGGTACCGTTTTTCATTATTCTGATCACTGTATATGTACTACCAGGAACGCACAACCAGTATACTTCTTATAAAAGTGTTTATTCACCTGGTAGTGGAGAGTGTGGTGCTAGGTTAAGTGCTCAGCTACTAACTGAAAGGTTGATGGTTTGAGCCTACCTAGGGACTCAGCCGGGCAAAGACCTGCTCTCCTAACAACTGCAAGAAAGCCATGGCTGTGGACTCCCTGCGAATGCGTACCCGCCACCAAAGTAAGGGGTCTTCACACCTGTCTCATCCGAACTCAGTATCTGTGAATTCTGGTCCTTAGTGACCCGACAGGACGGAAGGAGCTGCCCCTCGGGGTTTTCTAGGCTCCACTCTTCGTGGCCTCGTACGGCGGGTACCTGCCAACCAGTTGAAAATAGATAGATTGGTAGATGATTCAGGTTCAAAAGGAAACAGCTGGAGGGAGTAGTATTTCCAGAGCTGATCATTAACATCTGTAGCCTGATGCTATTAATGGACAAGTTTGAAAAATCACAAAGTTGGAAGCGTGGTGCAATTAGAAATATGGTCTGAGGATCCTTTTTTAAAAATGGGACCCATAAAGAAAAAAACAGCACTTTTGAGCTCAAAGTCATACTGTTTCTGAACAGCAAACATTATTTTTTTAGGAATATCCCTTGTGCCAAGCATTGTGTAAACTGGATATAGAACATAACCTTGGTAAAAGAAGACAAGTATAATATAAATGAACTTGCAACAGTAGACACACAGGAGAAGTATGGTGGTGACAGGAAAAGGAGGGGTTCACTGGAAATGTAAAGATCGGGCAAGATTCCACAAACTTTATGAAGGTCCTTGCAAGACTACGGATAGGAGAGCAAACAACTGATTTGAGGGGGAGGTGGGTCCTCAGTGCAAAACCTGATTCCGGACTCAGCATTACGAGAACCGAAAGCAGGAGAGAGCCCATGCTCAGAGAGGAGGGTGAAAGAAAAAGCACACATGAAGAGGCCAAGTAAGATGACCTTTAGAAAATCAGAGGTGAATTAGAATTAACCATAGCAACACCAAGTGCAGTGATTTAGCTCTTAGCTGTTAACCAAAAGGTTGGCAGTTCAAACTCACCAATCACTGCACAAGAGAAAGATGTAGCTATCCATTTCTGTAAACATCACAGCCTTAGAAACCTCATGGGGCAGTTCTAGCCTGTTTTAATTAGAGGGTTGTTGTTATGAATTGGAATCAACCCTCAGGCAATGAGTGATGGGGGCGGGGTATAAGTTATCATAATGTGGTTTAAATACAGGTCGGAGGGCAGGAAGTTTTCTACAGTGAGACCACCAGCAAATATAAGGAACTCCTGAGTCCCCCCCATGTGGTAATGTGAGTATCCAGAGAAGCCCTGGATTGAATAGGTCCCCTTCTATGCCTAAAGAAGAAGTGAATCCCTGATGCAAGTTAAACACATAGAAAATGTTCATCTTCGATGACAATATGAGGAAAAGGTGCATTGTTCCTACAGGAAAAATGCTCTGGCTTTCGGCAACCACTATAATAATAATTGGCTCACAGAAGGATCCCAAATGCAAGTGAAAACCAGTGGGTGGAAGATTTCTGGAAAACAGGATATTTATAGGTCTCAGAGTGCTTCCCCACAGATGATTAACTTCAAAAGTGGTTCAGCCTGGCGGACACCTCCATACTTAGCAATCCAAGTTATCATCACCGGTAACGGAACCATGACCTCGTGTGCCTGGTGGAGTGAAGCACTCAGAGCGGCACACGCCTCTGGAAAGGCCCTGACAGAAATATGTGAACCTGCTCGTGAGGAAACACTCGGCTCTCCGGGTCTTTTCGAAATCTGTCAGTGATCTGAGGCTGAGGACTATGCCAGATTGAATGAAACTAAAGGGGTTTGAAAAATAATCGTGACACTTCAATTGGATGCTGCAAAAGGCAAACAAAAATTCTGTAAAGGACATTAGTAGGACAATTGGTGACATTTCATTTTAAAGTATCTGTTAGATAACAATAGTCCATCAAAAATATATTTGCTGAATTTTATCAGATGGTTGTGTAATAGCATATCTTGTGCTTAGTATGGTGACCAGACGTCCTGCTTTTTTCAGGACAGTCCGATTTTTGGCATTTTTTAAAAGTCCCGATTTTTTGAAAGAATGCACGACAAGCTAGGAAGCGGTCTATTTGGTCCATAGAGACCAAATTTTTAATCAAGAACACCTGCCCCCCTGTCAAGGGTGTCCCACTTTAAATCTGGTCACCCTAGCGGCCTGGGCACATGCTGAAGTACGTACAGGTCATTAGCAACCTATTGGGGTGGGGGTGGGGTGTGTGTGTATGTGTGTGTTAGAGAGAAGGACAAAATGGATGGGGATGGTGTGTGTGTGTGTGTGTGTGTGTGTGTGTGTGTGTGTGTGTGAGAGAGTATGAAGGACAAAATGGACGTGGTCAAATGGTAATCATGGGTAAATACCTGTAATGGATAAACAGATGCTATTGTACTTTTTCTGGAGTGGTGTGGGGTGTGTGTGTGTGTGTGTGTGTAGGACAAAATGGGTGTGGTCAAATGGTAATCATGGGTGAATACCTGTAATGGATAAACAGATGCTATTGTACTTTTTTCTGGAGATTTTATTTTTTCACAAATTTTAGAAACTTGAATTCTCCAAACCTAAGTGAAGTCAATCTCAAACAAAATAAAATCAACAGTGGTACTCAGGAGAATTAAAAAGACAGTCTTCCTTTTTTTGGAAATTGAATCTTATTATTAAATACACTGACATTTTTAAAGAAGTGTAGGACCAATTAGAGAAGAAGAACTTTATGGTGAAAGAAAAATTGTTTCAGGCCTCTAAGAGCCCCAGGTGAGTCTTCGAAGGCCCCAGGTATACGTAAGCATATTAGTTACAATGGGTATTTGTTACAACGTAGATTCTGATTTCATGTATCTAGATGGAAATGCAAATCCACAACTAGGGTGTGACCTGCAGTAAACCAGTTTGAGCCCATCTTTTTAGATGCAAACAACTTTGTTACTCACTATTCAAAGGCACGTGTGTCTGTCCACATATTGCAATTAAATGGCACATCTTAGGTAAAAAGGACAATATAGTTGATATTCAAACCATCCGTGTACTGCTTCTTTGTAGAAAGATGCATTACATTAAAATTCATAGCTTAATGAAGTTGATTTTTTCCATAGGAAATTAGTTGTCAATGATTCTACTTTAATATTTTCTTCATATATTGTTTAGCTGGCCATCTCTGTATTAGTTGGCTACAGATTGTCCATATCAGAAATATCACCAAATTGTGTGATGACCCATGTGCCAAGTTCTCTGTGTCATGGATGTCTCCAATTTGATATATATAATTTAATTGGTCATTTATTTAAAAAAGGGAAAAAAACCCATCATAAGATTGGTTATATAGTACCCACACCCTGAAGGG